GATGATACAACCAGGTCCTGAGGGACTTCCTAAAGGAAAGCAGGGAAGGGGTGAGCCCCACTTCAGGAGGGAGAATGTTCCACAAGGAGGGAGCCACGGCAGAGAAGGCCCACCTCCTGGGACCCACCAAATGCAAGTCCTTGGTTGATGGAACCCATAGCATGCTTTCCTTGACAGATCTAATGGGACAGGCTGATATGATCAGGGAGAGGCGGTCCCTCAAATAACTTAAGCCTGTCTCACTCATGGCCAACAGAAGAGATGAAGTCCACATCATGGGAACACAGCAGAACAAATAGGTTGCCAAGGTGAATTTGGGCCAACAGGAAAGGCTCTATGAAATAATTTCTTCCTCTGTGAGGTGGGCTCATTTGGGGTGCAAAGAGGATTTCAATTACGTAGCAGTCTTAAGCTGTTGAACAGTGGGACAAAGTGCCTTGGAAACTGGTGGGCTCCCTCCAAGATCTGGGTTTTGCTGAGTTGGAGGATAGCTACCTTTAAGAGCTGACATCGTAATGGACCCCCTGTTGCATTGGCAAGCTCAGCAATCTTTGGGATCTCATCCAGTGCCATACTTCCCCCCCAAATTGACGTCCCAGCTGAATTTTAGAATTGCTCAGGGATTCGTTCAGCAATTTGAGAGAACCTCTGGATAGGAAGAGCGTTCTCAAATTTTGCCATTGGATGTTTCAGAATTATAGAGGTGCTGGGAGTTATTTTGGTGGTCTAGTCCAACCCTATTTGATGAACAAAATTCTTGGTACCAATCCCACCTGAAGAACTTTAGAGCAGTGTTTCTCAACCCCAGCAACTTTAAAATGTACTGCTAGCTGGGGAATTCTGGGAGTTGAAGTCCACACATCTTCAGTTTGCTGAGGTTGAGAAACAAGAACTCAGTTAGATGAGTTAGATGAGGCTACTGGGATTTCTCGAGAGGCTTTGCATGCAGGGTGCTGCTTAAAGATACATGTAGTAACCGTGAGGATGGAGTAAAGCAGATAGAGGATGCATTGAGTACCCAGATGGACAATCATGTGGGAATCCACCATCTCTGAGCTCTGGGGGAGAAAGATGTGAAAGGAAGAGGAGGAGGAGGAGGGTGGTGGCGGCAGTGGCAAAAGAGACGTTATGTTCACCACTGCAGATTTCTACCACCATGGAATTGGCACCGGGCTGACACCAAGCTTACACAGGGACACAATAGACTTTCTGCTTAGAGAAGCATATTTGTTTAGGGCAAAGACTTTCCCTTTTAAAGTGGATGAAATGCTCTTGGCCACCTCCGGCACTGAGGCTGGTTGGCTGCTGAGTTTGCACCATCTTTTTGGAAAAGTCCTTTCCAATGATAGCACGGGGGTGAATGCAGCAGCTCGCCGGTCCCGAGGCAGGAGAGGATGGCAACAAACAGGTGGGTTGCATTGCCCCAGGCCTGGGTCACCAGCAGCAAAAGTGGGTGGGGAAAGAAGGGGGAGAGCGGAAGAGCTGTCTTCAGAAGGGGCGCTTGGAAGCCTAAAACAACATTGATTTGGATTCCTCTCTCTGCTGGTTTCCATCTCGCAAGTCTCGCTGGGGGGGGAGAGACCATTCTGGGACCGCAAGGAATTTTGCAGAATGAGCCTGGATGTCAGTAGGAATACAAATTCACCCAGGTCCAACCACTGGATGGGAAGTATAGAAAAATCTAGGAGAGCAACGGCAAGCCATGTGTGTATTGCTGCCGAGAAGATGACACTGACATGTTCGTGATGTCACCAAGAGTCACGTTCAACTCAAGGAAGGCTCTGGCCAGGTCCACACCTAGCAAAGACTTTGTCCTACAAGGTTGCCTTTCTCCCATCCGCAGCCCGTGAGGGAGACAGCCTTACGTCCTCCTTAACCGTAGCAGGGTTGAAGGAGTATTTTCCCTCGTTGGACACCATCACAGGTGGCCTCAAGGTGTGAAAAATATCTTCATGGGGAGTCAGAGCAGAAGGTTTACTAGGAACCGAGGCAGAAGAGGCTGGAAAGGGTTATGGCTAGTATACTTTTCTGACAACTCAAGAATGGTGGAAAACATTACCACGATTAATCCCCTTCCATTTTCACAATACCTGTGAGATTTTTTCCTGCCTTCCCGCTTGGATGCAATGCTCGAATTGTGTTACTATCTAACAATTGTGTTAGTTTCCATGATCATGGGTGTGCAGGTGCCTGTCATGGAAACTTTTCTCCAAAAGCACATTGTGGCTATGAATAGGAGAGCCAACGGGATCAGCAAACTATTAAATGTAATTCTTCAGCCTTACCTTGATTCCATTTTGTTCTCCCTCCCTAGCTTCTATTTCGGAAACCACAAAAATAAGCCTTATTTAGCTTTCTGATTCTCTTCTGGCACCATCCAACTCTGGATATTTTTTCCCCCCAAATCCCCCCTCTTTCATTTCTTTCTCAAGACGGGTCCTTAAGTCAGTGCATGTTTAGAAGCAGCGTGGAAACATTCTTGCTTCACCCATTTTGGGGTGAAATGGATTTTTTTCCTCCAGTTTTGCTATTCTTTTCAGGATGATACTTTATTTTTTAAATCCTGGATTCTAGTGGCTCTTTCTGGATTGTTTTCAGAGTCCTCGCTAGGAGCAAACTGTCTAGAAATGGAATGAATGAGACGGTGATCCTACGTGTGCCGATGGGGGAGCAAAGCTCATTGTGTTTCAAGGGGCTCACTTTTGTATAGATATAACACTGTAAATATAGCAAATGTAAAGGATTGAGATTCAGTGGAGGGTTTCACTCAGAGGAATTTTGTTCTTTGCTGCCTGTTTAGATGATACAGTTATTTTCAGTTCAGCAGCAAGAGAGTCGTTCGTAGGTTATATACATCAGGGGTATCCTTGGGGGTGTCAAAAAAGTCAAGATGGTGGCCACAACTGCATGATCAAACACCTCCCCCTTTTGCACGTGTCACCATGCATGTAAAAAAGGGGCAGAGCTTTGATCTCCCCGCCGTGGCCACCATCTTGACTTTTTTGACTCTCTCTGGGCAAAGGCCCCTGATCAAGGGTGGCTTGACCATCAATTTGGGGACCATAAATAATACTATAGTGGTTATTTTATCTTAGAGCACAAAGCAGTTACTCTTCATAGCTTTGGTTTAGTTAAATGCTGTGATTCCTTCCAGAGGCTTCATTATCTCTTCCCACTTTGGCCTTACAAATGTCCCTTGCTCTTGCTACGACCGGACAGAATTAAGAAGCCATCTCCCACGCTTCGTCTTCCAAAGCCATTTCCTCCGGCTGAAATCTAACCCCCCTTGGAGGAGCCTTTCCAATTATGCAACACAGATGTATTGAGGTTACAATTCTTGGCTGTGATTTCTCAGAGTAGCAGCTCTAAGGCCTCGGGGGGTGGGGGTGGGGGACACAAGATGTGGGAAGGCTACATCAGGTCTACCTTCAGATACGTGGGCCTATCACTTCCATAGTTCTCAAGCACTAGCCATGTTGGCTGTGAATCCTGAAAGCTGCAGACCAGTGTTCCTCAACCTTGGTAACTTGAAGATGTGTGGACTTCAATTCCCAGAATTCCCCAGCCAGCATGGATGGACTTCAACTTCTGGGAGTTGAAGTCCATCCATGCTGGCTAGGGAATGCTGGGAGTTGAAGTCCAAACAGCTTAAAGTTGACGAGGCTGAGAAGACTACAGTAGGCTAACCGTAGGTAGCCTAATTCCCACCGTTGAAACAGGGAAGTTTCTCAGGTACTCCTAGATCAGCATCACGAAAGGACAAAATGTAGCTTAATGTCTCACATGTGCTGAGCCCTCCCTGGAATCCTATCTTGATCGCTAGATTTATATCCCACTTAACTTTCAGGAGCTCAAAGCAGCATACACACCACTCATTCTTCTTGTTTTACCCCACCACAACAACCCTGTGAGGTAGGCTGGGTTGAGAGGGAGAGTTTATCCCAAAGTCCTCCAGCAAGTGTCCAGGACTGAGAGTGGACTTCAACCTGGGTTCCCCCGCTCCTCGTCCAGCATCTTCACCACTAGACCACAAAGCTTCCCTTATTTGTTAGATTTATGCCCCACCTTTCATTCAAAAGCTCAGTGTTGAGTATATAGTGTCCCCTCCACCAATTTTCCATACCGCAACAACCTTGTGAGGTAGGTTGGGTGTGAGAGAGTGCCTGGGGCAAAGTTTCGCAGAGAGCTTCTGTGGCTGAGGGCCAAGGAGAGACTAGAACCTGGGTCTCCTCGCTCCTAGTCCACCACCTTCACCACTACACTACGTGAGCTGTTGGGCTGAGAGGGAGGGACTGGCCCAAAGTCACCCAGTTGGCTTCCATGCCTAAGGGAGTCTAGAACTCAAGGTTCCTTGCTCCTAGTTCAGCACCTTATCCACTAGACCAGTGTTTCTCAACCTTGGCAACTTTAAGACCTGTGGACTTCAAATCCCAGAATTCCCCAGCCAGCAAGAAAGAGTTGAAGTCTTAAAGTTGCCAAGGTTGAGAAACATTGCATTAGACCATCCTGGCTGTTGGGCTGAGAGAGAGGGACTGACCAGAGTCCTCCAGGGGTTTCCACAGCTAAGGCTAGACTTGAACCTGGATTTCCCCACTACAATCCCGCTACAATCTTGTGAGGTAGGTTGGGCAGAGAGAGAACCCCTGGCCTAAAGTTATCCACGCGCTTCCACAACTCATGGTCGACTTGAGCTCAGGTCTTCCCTGGGGCCATCCAACACACCTTCTCCACCCTGCCCACCTAGCTCTCCTCAAATGTGATCTGAAATTGCAGTCTTCTCCTCGGAGAACAAACTCTCCTCCTTCACCCAACATTGATCTCCTGATGCTGGGGCCCTGGGATGTCTCTCAAGGGTTTCAATCTCCATCTGCTTCTCTTCCAGATGAAAAGCTACCAGGAGTTTTAGCCGACTCTGACAACAGAAGCCACACACCTCCGCAAGGAGAGGGCATATCCTCTTCCATCTCTGTCAAGGAGCGATCTGCTGTCTATCTCTCCCGGGTTGCAGCTGCTACTGCTGGTATCACAGAGCGGGTGAGTTTCTCATGCTTTACATTTCTCCCATGTTTCTGCCCCTCCAGAACTATGTAAGCAATGTCTCTCTCCGGCAAATGGTCATTCTGGAGTAAAAGCGCATGGCTTCCTTTTTCTTCTTTTTTCTTTTCAGTGCCGTCTTAGGATGGTGGGTTTTTGTGGCAAAACTGTCCTTCTTGCCCCAAATTGCATATCAAGACATTTTATGCCTCCAAATGCTGGGGGGGGGGG